AAAAAAAATTGACACCACAAGCATTTTCGTTACTACTCGCTTTTAAAAAACCGCGCGCTAACATATACCAATATGGCGGCTTCCCCGACTTCCTCTCGTAATCACAAAACCAGTATTTACGTTCGTTTTTGTTAAATATCTCGAGAAATTGGCCGTCAACCCATATTGTGCTCAACACGATCCGAAAGAAGAGGATTTTCTCTACAAGTTCCATATACTCACTTTACTCAGATTTTTGTTTTTTGTTCGTAATATGTGATTACGTCACTTTTTTCTCGTTTTTTTGTATGCGCCTGTATATAACATTCGAACTTGGAGCTTTAATATCTCGAGATTTTGTCCGTCATCGGGCATAACTGAAGGTACCATTGGATTCAGCGGGTCTTCATCTATTTAATTACATAAGTCTTGTATCCCAGATTTAGGCGGAGGTCCTATCTTAAATGATACAATTGGCTGATGAACTGTTGCTCTGATTTCTGAAGTTTTTCCAATGGTGTCTGACTTCTGCAGGATTGCTCTGTTGGTCGGCCAACTGTGCGAAGAACCTTACTATATATACCTTTTACTATTTACCCTGTCCCCACTCTCCTTGACAAAGTGCGCTTTTACTCATAGGTCCCAAAGAAAATAAAAACGTTGTTTAACATCACACCGAATTATTCAAATATCAGGGCTATCTTCCAGCAGTATTTTTAGTCATTTTTAACTCTAGGGGTCCGCCATTGTCTGCAACACAAGCAGTGAAAACGACGCCGTTTTACCAATTTTTCTAGTACGCTTTGATAGCGATGGGGTTTCTATCTTCTACACTTTGATACTAATGGGGTGATGAGGAGAGTATAGACATATCTACTATAGATGGACTGAGTATAGTGATCGTGGCCAACCCTAACCGATCAGAGTAAACTTAACTTTTCACTACTTTTAACATGTTTCTAGTAGTTTAAGCAGTGGGAGTCAAGTTATTAGTATAGTAGAGATAAGAATTATTATTTATAAACGCATATATTATTAAATATTTATAAAACGGCACGTATAATTTTTTGACCACGCGTGGATTGTAAAAAGACAAGAGATTAAGGAAAAAAACGAAAAAATATTGAACTCGTTATTTTATAAACAAAGATATTAACGAAAACGAAAGCAAATGACTCACCACTCAATGCTAATTCTTGTGGGTGTCCTTTGTCAAACTGCATGTGTGGTACCATGTCTCTCTCCTCTAAATAGCTTCTTGTGCAAAATTAGCTTCATTTTTCTAATGAACAATTTATCCAGCATAAAAAAAGAGTCAACTACTGATCAATAATTTTAACTATGAAAATTAGATGTACTTTATTAGACTTTTATAAACATACATAAACAGACTTTCTTAATCATACAAAAATATAATGCTCTTATAAGATTTACATGTCATAAAATCTGCAAAATAAAGTATCCATGTACCATTTTTGAAAAGCAAGCATTGTTGTATAAGTTGTAATCAAGCAAATATTGTGAAAATATACTAAAATTACATTAAAAGAAAAAAAAAAAGTTAAGGACGAAACTAAATTATTTATTTCATCCCTTTGCCAGAAATAGTACTTTTTTCTATTTTATCGGGGATAAAAGTGATATATTTTTTTACAGGCAAAAGAAATCACATCCACTATTTAATTCAAAGTATTTCATTGTACTCCGCATACTTCTCATTTACAAAATTGCGTTTTTTTACCTGAAAAGTTGTACTTTTTTAATTCTGAAGTTCCTTAATTATACATAAAACGTTATAGTACGACTTTATCTCCCGGGAGTTTAGAACTCTTTTTTTTTTGTTTAAGTGTCAAATCACACTTTAGAGCTAAAACTCCACTCCTGGGAGTATTGTAATACATTAATTATAATTGTGATTGTAAGTTCTTCTTTTTACAGTACCTTCAAAAAATTTTTTTTTAAATGCATCTTTCCATCTTAAACAGAAATATCACTACAGCAAGCACATAAACTGACTTTAGCAAAAATAAGTAGATAAACGGAAGTGAATTTAAAATTATCTAATGCATATCTAATTATTTTTTATATTTCGTAATGAAAAATTATTTCTGTATGAAAATATTAATATTGCGAGAATCTTATCTAACTATGTAAATGCAATTTCGTACTGATTTTTTTTAAAGAATCTTGAAATAACAAAATCTTATATAAATGTACAAAAATTTTTAAATCTTGAAATATATGTAGAATTCGCGCTTTTGTGACAACGTTGGATAAAATTCTGAAGTTGTGCCATTTGAAGCATGAAATGTATGCACAACATACAATCTACTTCCTAGGCTGTTGAATTACAATGGGTCGGGAGTGTGCTGGACGAGCATCGTGAGTCGGTACTGGTTTCTCATGATAATGCTGCACAGCTTCTGGAGGAAAATCAGCATGACCTTTTGTTTGAGCTCCACTGACAATTAAAGTCTTTGGGGGACTGAAAAAAAGTTACAAGTTCAAGAATTACTTTATTATCAATTGTAAGTGTCAATAATAATTTTCCTTATCTTAAAGTAATTTAATGCTCTTTGTGCCTTATCTGCTGGGGGCAACACCACTGCAAAGTGAACTGCTATTTTTTATGGTTGATCTCTGTGCGACTGGTCAATTTTTTAGCAACATATTTTGCCAACAAATCAAAAACTTTTTTCTTTGACAAAAAAATTTTTTCCTGATTTTTGGCACATTTTAAGGTGGCTCCAGTGGCCTCAATGTTAAAATTATAAATAACCCAACCGAGGTTAATAAAATTGAATTATATTCTTTGAATTCCCATCTTTCTATTCGTATAAAAAAAAATTAAGGTTGACGATGAAAATTGTAAGAAATCATGCTTACAAAATCGTAGTTTTAAGACGGGTTAGA